CCCCACATTATTCATTACTTATAATTTATTTGAATAGAAGATTTAATTACCCTAAATTGACCCAAATCATTTATATTTCAATATTAATTTAACTTATAGCATATTAATTTTCTGATTTTCGGCCCTTTTATGCATAAATTTCACTACCACGCAACTACCACGCTATTTCGTGTCCATACCGTGCTCCTTAAATCGCCAGGGATATCGACAAAGTCAGAAGATGAAAAGATGAAAATTTGAACTTAATTCTTAATAGGCAGATGATACCAAAAAAACATTCCAATTAAATTTATTTCCAGTTAAAGTATGTGCATATCTAGATATGTACATATATATATACATACAGGGTGTCCGGGATAAAATTGTACACCCAAATAACTATTGAATATGGGTAGTAATCGAAAAATCTTTCAAATAGAAGTTGTAGGGCTCCAAGTGGGAAAAATAATGAGATATGTTTTGAGAATTTAAGTCTTCATGTTTTTATGCTACAAGCATAAGTTCATTTTTTTCTTATGGGATCAAAAATTTTCTTGTAACAAAAGTTGTTGTACTCGATAAGATGAATCTAATGATGTCACACATAATGTGTTTTTTGTGCTTTCTGAGCTCAAAAATACTAAAAATGTAACTTGTCAACGATATTCCAAATTCACACACGATAAACAGAAAAATAAAGGAGAAACAAAAAGGCGCCAATGGATTGTTCTACTAGAAAGACGTTACAACAAGTGCTCAATGTTTCCACCATTCACTTCAAGACGCAACTCAAGTCGACGTCGGAAACTCTGCACAACATTTCGAAGCGCTTGTTGAGGAATCTTGGCAAAAGCGCCTCTGATACGTGTTTTCATGTCTTCTGCAGTCGTTGGTCGATTTTTGTAGACTACATCGTTAATGTAGCCCCATAAATAAAAATCAAGTGGAGTTAGATCATGTGATCGCGGAGGCCAAAGAACAGGACCACCTCTGCCAATCCAACGACGAGGAAACAGAACATTGAGATAATTCCTTACACAAAGTGCAAAAAGCGGTGGCGCACCGTCTTGTTGGAACCACATTCTTAGTCTTGTATCAAAGTGTACATGTTCCAATAAAACTGGGAGGTCATCTTGTAGAAACTGTAAATAGCGTTGACCGGTGACTGTTCCATTGAAAAAATACCGCCCAATCACTTGCCCATCAACAATGCCACACCACACATTTACACTCCACTGATGCTGGTGGTCAATGTGCTGAGTCCAGTGTGGATTTTCCATAGACCAATAATGGGAATTATGACGGTTTAATGCGCCAGTACTTTTAAACATCGCTTCATCACTGAAAAAAACATTTTGGAAAAACTCGAGACTTTCGTTCAAGATCCCTATGCCCCAGTGTCAAAAAGCAACACGATTCTGTCTATCTTGTGCAGACAGTGCTTGTGTCAATCTGATATGATATGGATGGTAACGGTTCGATTTCAAAATATCGTGAGCTGTGCTTCGTGGAATACCTGAATCTCTCTCAATTTCTCTTAAAGAAATGTGAGGGTTCATGTGAACCATGGCCAAAACGGTAAGCGTACGAGGATTGTCAGGATTCATCCGTTGTTG